TATATATATCTATATATATATATTTATATATATATATATATATATATATATATATATATATATATATATATATATATATATATATATATATATATATATATATATATATATATATATATATATATATATATATATATATATATATATATATATATATATATATATATATATATATATATATATATATATATATATATATATATATTTAATATATTAATATTAAATATATATTTACCTTGCCAACAATAATATTAATAATAGTAATAAATAATGATTATTTTTGTTAAAATATTTACAAAATATTATTTTTGATCAAATTTAACTTTAAAAAAGAGACATTACTAGTGTATTTATTTGAGCGTGGAATAAAATCTGACCTAAAATTGATTAATTTTATTTAATTAAAAATGCCTTTTCACCCCCCCCCCCCCCTTCAAAAAGTCCCCCATAAATAATCATTAATATTTTGTACAATATAAATTCTGACGTTAATTTCATGACATTTTACAGAATTCTGGAAACTGAATGATCAGTTTAATGTGATTAACTTCAGCCTTTATTTTACATGTGGTGGAAAATCTGACCTGAACAACAGATTCTTTTCACTTCTTCATTTCTCCTTCATAAACACACACACACACACACACACACACACACCACATCTCTGACATGGAAGAACAGTTTGATGATATGTAAAGAATAATAAACGTCCGTCACGTTCTGATCTGGAGGAAACCAGCGCCCCATTAAACACACACCAACAGATTAAAGAAACCTTCAGATGCAGAAGGTGTGTTTAGAAACATGAGAGCAAAGCATGATGGGAGTTGTGTATGTATTTGTGTGTTAGTGTATGTTTGTTTGTATGTGTGTGTGTGTGTGCGTGTGTGTGTATATGTGTGTGTGTGTGTGTGTGTGTGTGTGTGTGTGTGTGTGTTCACTCCATCCAGTCGATCTCGTCAAACTCAGACTCGTCCTCAGAGTCGCTGTACTCCACTGCGATGCGTCGAGACAGAATCGTGGCCACGTCATTTCCCACACGCTCGTGTTTCGCCTCCTGCTCGCGCTGCTCCTCCACCTTCCGAAGCTGAATCCCTGAACACACACACATTGTTTTTATTTTATTCATTTATTTTTATTTTATTTAATTATTTAATTATTTTTATTATAAATTATTTAATGTTTGTTTATTTATTCATTCATTTGACTGCTCTTCCCAGAATGCATTGCACATTAGTCATAAAACTCCTCCCACAGAAAGAAATGAACTACATCTCCCAGAATGCATTGCACATTAGTCATAAAACTCCTCCCACAGACAGAAATGAAATACATCTCCCAGAATGCATTGCACATTAGTCATAAAACTCCTCCCACAGACAGAAATGAAATACATCTCCCAGAATGCATTGCACATTAGTCATAAAACTCCTCCCACAGACAGAAATGAACTACATCTCCCAGAATGCATTGCACATTAGTCATAAAACTCCTCCCACAGACAGAAATGAACTACATCTCCCAGAATGCATTGCACATTAGTCATAAAACTCCTCCCACAGACAGAAATGAAATACATCTCCCAGAATGCATTGCACATTAGTCATAAAACTCCTACCACAGACAGAAATGAACTACATCTCCCAGAATGCATTGCACATTAGTCATACAATTCCTCCCACAGACAGAAATTAAATACATCTCCCAGAATGCATTGCACATTACTCGTAAAACTCCTCCCACAGAAGGAAATGAACTACATTTCCCAGAAGCCATTGCACATTAGTCATGCAACTCCTCCCAGAGACGGAAATTAACTACTCTTCCCATAATTTATTGCACATTAGTCGTGAAACTCCTCCCACAGAAGAAAATGAACTACATCTCCCAGCATGCATTGCACATTAGTCATGAAATTCCCCCCACAGGGAGAAATTAACTACATCTCCCAGAATGCATTGCACTTTAGACATTAAACTCTTCACAGAGAAGGAAATTAACTATTCTTCCCAGAATGCATTGCACATTAGTCATGAAACTCCTCCCACAGAAGGAACTAAACTGCATTTCCCAGAATGCATTGCACATTAGTCATGAAACTCCTTGTACAGAGAGAAATGAACTACATCTCCCAGAATGCATTGCACATAAGTCATAAAACTCCTCCCACAGACAGAAATAAACTACATCTCCCAAAATGCATTGCACATTAGTCATGAAACTCCTCCCACCTTTACGTATGGCCTCCAATAGGACGCTGCGGGCATCGCTGATTGGTGGCAAGTTGGCTGGATACCGCTTGACCTCGTGACCCGAGTGAGTGGGCGGAGACGAAACCGCTCCCGATGGAAAGGAAGGCATGGAGGGCGGGGCTGAGGACGTGCAAGGGGAGGAGCTTCTGTTTCCTGGGAGGGGCAAAGGAGGAGGAGGAGGAGGAGGCGGTAAAACCATTCCATCTGTGGGCAGAGCCTTGGCTGGAGATGAGTGAAGGGGTGGAGCCACTGGAGGGGGGGCAGGGTGTAGGACGCCTGGGGCGATCTGAAGCGGGGCGGGGGGAGGAGGGATGGCCGGGGGCTGCTGGGAAGGTAAGGGAGGAATCGGAGGCGGGGCTGAACCTCGCATCCTTGAACCTGATACGCTGGCTGGCAAGGGAGGGGGAGGAGGGGGTAAGGGGGGCGGGGCTGGGGGCGGGGCATTGGGGTTGAGGAAGACAGGTGTGCGAGCAGGAGACTGATTAACGCTGTCGGAGAAACCTGAGCTGGAGCTGAAAGACAAAGAGACAGACACTAACAGGAAAGTTCTGGCATCATTTACGTGTTAAAAAGTGATCTGGTGTGTGTGTGGGAGTGTGTGTGTGTGTGTGCGCGCACCTGATGACGGAGGCTGGTTTGAGGTCAGGCTGGTGTGAGGGTGGGGGTGGTGGTGGTTCGTGCGGTCGGCCGTAGTTTCTCTCTCCACTGCGGTTCAGCAGTTCGTTCATCTGAGAGTACGGCAGCGCGGCCAGAGAGAACGGCCCGTCCAGATGATCAATGTACATTTGCCTGCAGACCACAGAAAGCACACACATGAGCAGAACTCATAAAGATGTTCAGATACAGGCCGTCCTGTGATATGAACACACACTATCGTGCACAAGCTGTTCATTCTATACACACAGCCGCTCTTTTGACAGCCCAATTTTCCTTATTCTTTAAAGAGCCCATATTATACATGAAATAGGGTCATATCTTGGTTGTAAGGGTCTCCAACAACAGTCTAATATGCATGCAAGGTCAAAAAACACTTTCATGGTCTTATAATCTGCATTTATTTTTACCTAATTATCCCAGCGACTCCCGTATGAATCGTCCAGTGATTCATTTGTTCCCAAACCCCTCCTTAGCGCGAAGCTAATCTGCGCTGATTGGACCAATGACAGTCTGTTGCGATTGGTCGACTGCCTTCAGTCAGAGAGTGAAATGCACAACAGCTAATCAGCAATATAAAAGTAATCACAGTTCATACACGCTCGATAGTGTAGGCGTGGAGTTTAGCTGCCAGTGGGTCAATGTAAATACAGACTATGGACTTGAAAATACAGACGACTGACTATTTTATTGAGCAAAAACTCCAAAAACTGAAGTATTCTTTGTAGCATGTAGTTTGCAGAAGTTTCCAGTAGTTTCCAACTGCTTGGCTATAATGCTGAGGTTTCATCTTTGGGTAGAGACTCGATAATATCCATCTGCAGTGTGACTTCAATCGACCGGCATGTTTGTGTGTGTGTGTGTTTTTGGGTGTGTGTGTGTGTGTGTCTGGGTTTCTGTGTCAGAGGGCGGGGCCGCAGGTTTGAAATCTCCCGGGTTTGCGCGTGCACGTGAATAACTTGGGTTATACCCATAATATGGGCTCTTTAACACTGGAATGTTATATTGTAGAACAAGGCTATTCAATTAGTTTGTCATGGGGGCCGGTTCATGAAAAGCATCCCAAACTTTACAGGTTAGAAATTATGTAAGTCACGCAATACCCAATTGAATCGCTTCCAGATGAAGGAAAGGTTTACAGGCTACTATCGGGCTCACCTGATTCCAAACATTTAATTTCAGGTTTTGTATGTGTTTTTTCTCGAGAACTGAGCTACTCTACTATTCATTTGAAGAATGCTTGGGAAGAGGAATCGGGTATACAGATTGACTCTGATACATGGGAGGAAAGCCTCAGTAGAATTCAATCTTGTTCTATTAATTCCAGACATCAGTTTATTCAATTTAAAGTAATGCAAAGAATGCGCTACTCAAAATCTAAATTACACAGAATTTTTCCCACCATTTCCCCTACATGTGACCGGTGTAAGTCTGAAGGCTTCCTGACCCACCTCAATTTGGACCAAGTGTGCCGCAAGCCTGCGTTTGAGTGAGGGTCTCTGCCGTTAGATCGCCCCCTGGGGGCTGGCTGCAGTACAAGTCATAAAGCCCGCCTCCTCCGTGTTAATGAAGGAGACTTGAGCCCAAATAAAAAAATTTATTACACTTGCAATAAAATGTCCTGAAAGATGGTTCTGGTGGATTAAGGCACTGGTTATTGTGCTGAAATAGGTGCAGATCTTCATTTTTGTAAACAGTTCGTTTTTAGCAGTAATTTAATGCTGGGCGTGTCATCGTGATTGACAGCTGTGATTGACAGTTTCTCAAAGCGCGGCGTCGGAGCTTCGGCAGGAGACTGAAGTAGACTGAAGTGTTATTATTCGATTTCTGTGTTATTTTACCATGACAAAATGAGTTCAGCAGTAAACTATAGTTTCTGACATACATGATCCTGGTGGAACACTGTTTATTCGCTAAGTTCAGGG